TTAGCATTTACGTTTCGCGACTAGACGTACCTTGCCTTGAAATAGTTCGTCTCATTCATACTGCAGTGAGTTTCAGTTAACGCTGTAAAGTCTGAAATGACGAAAGGAAATTTTGGTCGACACGAAGTAGGTGTTATCAGATGGCGCGCACAGCGAGTGCAGAATGGAGCGAGATGCTGAGCCGTTCGAATCCATTTAGATCTCGTCCTTTTTTCATTCTCCCCTGTTACATTTTAGAGAATCTGTTTAGCAGTGTAGATGCTTGCCTTGTACGCGAGGCAGGGAAAATGACACATGGCTTGGTTCTCACTTGGGTGAATGAAAATTACGGCAATTTTTGTTTAGCCACCTGCATTGCTACGGCAGGTGGTCGCTAACGAACAACAAATCAACCCAGTGTCAGAATACTGGTCACTCGTCGTGCACAGGCTGAGTAGCAGAAACAGGCGCAGATTGAATGACGGACATCTGATACTTGTTTTTGCGGTTGTTGCGTTGCTTCCAAGGTCATAGATATGATTTATAGCAAATAAGTGTCTAGACAAAATGTCTCTGTTTATTGTATAAACTGTCTGGTTGAAAGCTACGCGTGACAAGATCGAAATGAGGTACCGTCGAACGTTTGTGGTAGCTCCCGTAGGTAGCGCCGTGTCTGTTAGCCACGACACCATCTATCGTCTGCGGTCACTGTTTCTTTTTTCGATTATTTACCTCCGTATGACGCTTCCGAACAACCCATCACTGACAACACAACTTTCAATCACAGCTTCCAATACAATGACACACAGCGTAGGATACAAGGCACGCATGCCTTTGCTCATGGAGGATCCATCCATACATACATATACTGGCGTATCAACTGCCAGCCCAGAATCTAACGTTTGTTTTTCACAACACTGGACTACCCCTTTTGCACAGTTTATACTGAATAATTAACAGCGAATCCTTGTGTGCCGCAAGAGTGTTTTTCTTTGAGCATTTCGTTTGATAATATGGTCCTGCCATGCACGATTCATGCCATCGAGTTGGTCAAAAAATACTTGTTGTTTAGTCCGCGTACATCCTTGCTTGAGGCAGTATCAGGGATGACCCTCTTCCTCCGGACGCTGCATACTCGTTTTGCTAGCATCACCGTATCTGTGGCCAGGTGTTTCTGAATTGCTACGTCATGTTTCTGTTGACTTCGAGAAGTTCGGTAAAGTTTCTGTTGACCAGGCTGAAATGTTGATTGTTCTCCGGTTGTTTTCCTACCAAAGACGTTTTGCCTCCTCTTCCCTATTCCTGTTGTTTCGCTACCGTGGAAGAACAGCTGATGCTATGAATTCATGTGAAGACATGGCGATTTAATGACCACTCAGAGGTCTTTGCATTTTCCTACCAGCACTTGGCGTTACCTCTTGACAATCATCCTTTCTGAAGGATCTTTCGCCTGTTCTGTGTGGCTTCTATAGATGCAGCTATTTTTTTGAAGTTCTGAACAAAATACAGATGAACGTTCATCGTGCTTTTATGAATACTGGAAAGATACTGTCATACCCCGTTTAAGATGGGCGATACGTTGCCGTTCTCCGCAAACAGTGTTATGTGAGATTAGCAATAGGCTAAGAAAAAGACGGTTAGAAGTTTGTGGAAAACGTTATTTTTTGTTTTTTACCCGTCCTATTCTTAATCTGTTATCACAACTATCTGTTCGATATTTTTTCGAAGTGGAATTGACTTTGTACAGTTTTCATGGAAATTCGTTTCCAAAGCCGTAAACATTTATTGTCTATTTTCAAACCATCACCGATCTGTTCAATCCTGCTTCCTAAGATTGCTGTTGATCCTGCATATTGTCGGCATCAACTTCGACCATCCCACGTTCACGATGACTGGCAGCCCTGATGAGGTCATTCATTGGCAATGGCAGTTTTCTTTTCTTTTGACTTATGAGGACGTTGGCATTTTCCAGTCATATCTTCATACAGTGACAAGAAACTCAGTCTCGTGCTGCGCAGATATTCCTGATGGCATTCATAATTTTGAAATGTTTCCATTCCTCTAGTTGATTGTTAATTTTATTGTCATTTACGCTGTTACGCAGCTTTCCGGCTTTTTTTACTGTTTGTGACGTCTCTTTTAGTCATTCTCTTGTGATTTCCCGTGGTCTTCCCTAACCTTCTTCACTTTCCTTTTGCTCTTCAATTTGGCTCTTCTAGCCATTAG